ATTTTCATTTTGAACGGTATCATCCTGTATAATAATAACAGTACATCGTATACAGGTTATGAGACATTCTGACCGACCGACCGACCGACCAGAGGAGCCCACCACGCTATTTAGGTCACGCCTTGCTATATACGATTTAACGATATACCGTCGGTCCATCGATCCGCTATTTTTCGATGCACCCCTGTATACACGTTCTGAATGCCCCCCGTAATCCACGCCAACACCAGACAGGTGCGACATCGGCGCCATCTATGCGCGAGATGCCCAACCCATCAATGGCAGCTGTCCAATGACACATAGATTCCGTTTGGTTTGTACAGCGCCAAACAAATCGGCGCCATCTATGCGCGAGATGCCCAACCCATCAATGACAGGTGTCCAATGACACATAGATTCCGTTAGGTTTGTACACCGCCAAACAAATCGGCGCCATCTATGCGCGAGATGCCCAACCCATCAATGACAGGTGTCCAATGACGTATGACAGATGACGTTTTAACGCCATCTATGCGTGAGATGCCCAATGACGCATGACAGGTGTCCAATGACACACAGATTCCGTTTTGGTTTGACAGCGCCATCTAGCGGCGGAATCCCCAACTCATGAATTTCGATTACAGATTCCGTCCAACAACCTGTCAATGGCGCGCGACGCCAGCGCCTCTGGTGGCGGATTTTGGAAGTTTTGAGACCGAATCCCCATAAGACATCTACTGGTATGTTAATAATGATGATATGTTTCAGGGAAAACATGTTTATAAAACGAATTATGAAAATGCAGAGAACCTCTTATTTTAAACTACATTCACACCGACTTCCACCTATACAGTCTCTATAAACGTAGATTTCTATTTATGCCTCGCAACTCGTCTGCAGGGACTGTCTATTAATTCCAAATCTCCGTTCTTAATTTCACTCTACGTCGTCCTTTCAATTTTCAGCAATTTGTAGATACTCGTTGTCTGCCAGCCAGCTCTTTCACTTTAATCTTCCAACAGTCGCAGCAGTAATCAGTGCTTCGGATTCGTCCAAACTTGCAAAAAAGGATCCAACTTTTTTCTCTCTCCTTTGATAGCATTTACCGCTACGTAGTTTTTTATTTTACCTGGTCCTCGATCAGTTGGTGTGCAGCTCTACTAACTTTTCGCAGGTAGCTGCTATGTAAAAATAACAAAATGTACTGGTAGATTTGATACTGTCACTTTTTAATTAGGATTTGTTTTGAAATGAAGTCCGAGAAATGTTATTTATGAACGTAAATTGGAACACAGACTGAAATGTGAACATTTTTCCATTTTTTAGGATAGTCACCATAAACATTCAAACATTCGTCAAGTCCTGAGGGCAGCGTTTGGATCCCGTTGTTCTCAATTTGAAGGGAAAACCAATGAGGTGTGAAGAATGCCTAGTTTTCTTTTGAATATTTGGAATATTTGCCTAACATTTTTTTTATATGATAATTTTAGTATCAATTAGAATATTTAATTTATACTTTGATATTTTTCCAATACAATTTACTCACGTAAATCAGTATAGACATGGCCGTTATAGTTATCATTTTTGAAAGATTAACAATGAAATTTCTATAGGGTTCCAAATAAAGGCCCTTGCTTTTTTATTGAAGTAAATTTTTTTCAAATGGTACATTAGTGACATGTATTAATTTGCTATATTACTTTTATATAGAATAAATAATAGCTGAAAAAAAAAACAAAAAAAACATGCTTTTATAGCTAACCGATCTAAAAGGTGGAAAATAATTTTTAAATACAAATAGTCTATATTACAGTAGTAGATGGTCGAAGAATCAACCATAATTTATGACCTCAAAATAAAATTATAATAAAATTTATGTTATTAACAGAATAATTCAATCCAGAGTAAAAACGGTGAGGTGCTTGATAAATTAAATGTTACAATCATTCTATTGGCAAACAATCTATGAAAGGAGAGTTATTTAAATGTAATAAAATGCACACCACGCTTTTTAGTCTGAGTTGAATTATTCTGTTAACAACTTAAATTTTATTATCATTTTATTTTGAGGTCATTAATTATGATCGATTGTTCGACCATCTATAGACTCTTTGTAATTAAAAATTATTTTCTACTGTTTAGATTGTCACGTGCAAAAATCACGTAAGCTTTTTTTTACTATTTAACACTTATCCGTAATTTGAATTTCTCTTCATTGAAAATAGAGTGCCCATTCCTAGGCCAAACCCTTTTCAATGATTTTCTTTTGGCAAACTTAATAGTTTATTGATTGTATAGATTCACTGGTATTATATCTTTCTTTCTCAGTGATTCAGTATGGTGTTGACGATCAGCAAAAAACTCTGTAGTTTTTCTCCCTTAGTTGGTTTCCTATGAAACATATCTTCTTCAAGGCCACTCAAGATACCTTCTTCTAGAACGTTACGTGTTCTGGGTGATTCGCTTTTCTGTTTCCGTTGAGGTCGTGGTGCTTGGGTCGTTTCGTCATTTTCCGGACTCTGGGATATTAGGCCTGAAGCACCAATTCATGGACTAGCACCCTTTTTTTATGTAACTTAAGTTTAGTCATTTTGGTTTGGGTGCTACGTCTTTTTATGGGATTTTGACCCTCAGCGTCAATAGAAACAGAAGAGAATCATCATGCTTTCTCCGCCAGTTGGTTCCATCTTGTTGCAGTTTTGCAAATAGGTGGAAGTCATCATCTTGAAAAACAAGTTATGGCAAAGTTATGGCAGCTCAAAAATCAAAATCATGATCCATGTAATAGAAGGTGCCTGTAGGCGCTGCCCCCATAATTGAATCCGTAGAATGTCCAATAAAATCAAGAAGCCTCTAACAATTTCAATAAGCAATAATAAATATATGAAGATCTATGAAATTGTTAATTAGAATGATACTTTAGCTGTTCACATCTGGTTTTTCTTTCAAGGGGATGACCTTAATTTTGACGATGGACAGGTGCAGATTCGGTCATTGCTGATTGAAGTTAACGATACTATCAATACATTTTCAATGGAGGGCGCACAAAACAGATTTCTTACCGCTCAATCTAGGTTGGTCCACCTCTTCAACCGCGTTAATCGAATGCCTGATTTAATCCTTAGCATAGAAGATGAAACTCAAAGAACTGAACTGCTTATCGATAATTTGGCAGCATTAGATTCTTCAGAGACGGCGTCTGGGCAAGATCCTCAATTAAATACACTTTTTCAAAATTCTGATTAAAATTTGGCTTGAAAGAGAACCCTTATCCATAGTTCAACTGTACAGAATTTTTCATCCAGACCTCCCAATGTCCAAACTGTTCCACCGAAGCCTCACAACATAGAGAAATGGAACTTAAAATTTTCCGGTGAAGTAACACAACTTTCTGTCCATAACCATTTAGAAAGGGTTAATGAACTACGGTCAGCTCGCAACGTAACTGAAAAGCAGTTGTTTGACTCGGCTATGGATCTTTTCACTGGGAAAGCGTTAAACTGGTTCAGAGCAAACCGAAATAGGGTCACTGATTAGGAAAGCTTAGCTGATTTGTTAAAACGTCATTTTTAACCTTCTGATTTTCGTGCTAGACTTTTCAGAAATCTTAGAGAGAACACAAGATACATCGGAGGGTATTACTGATTATCTATCCTGTATGCAGGGACTGTTTAGGCGTTATGGTGATCTAACAGAAGAGCTTCAGTTAGATATTGTATGTAGGAATTTGCCACCATTTCTTAAGCTTGTGGTTAAGAAATATAGAGTTGAGAAGTATGTACTCCCATCTCCAAAGCGTCAACAGTTTGCTGAGCCCGACTTTGCATTCGTAGAAACGGAAAGTCCCCATCCTTCTACCTCTCGCGAACCTGAAAATGCGAATAAAGTTGCTGAGGTAACTGAGGTATCTAGGGTCTCCCAAAGCGATTCATCGCGTAGGGTTACTTGTTGGAATTCCAAAAAGTAGGACATATAAATCGTGATTGTCCCAATCCGAGAAAAACTCATTGTTATCGCTGTGGTGCACCAAATGTAACCATTAGGAATTGTCTCAATTGTAGTAGTTCAGGAAACGAGTCGCGGAGGAATCGTTAAGTCGTGCTATTTCCTCCCAGTCATCACCTTTAACAGCAAACACCCTTGATTTTCAAAACAAAGTTCTTCTCGATTTTGGTGTTTCACATGTCCATGGCGATAAACGTCCTTACTTTAAAGTCGATATAATGGGTTATTCCATGTTGGGTTTACTTGATTCTGGTACTAGTCGTACATTGGCTGGACTATCAGGTTATGAAATACTTTTAAGCTTGGGTCAAAACAGTGCATGTACTGTGGCGAACGGTCAAGTATGTCATAGTATAGGTCAGAGTTCCCCAAACTTCTTTGTGTCGTAGACCGCTTGCCATATTTTTCCGTGTTGGGTAGACCCCCTACTTACCTGATATTGATTTCCTGTAAGTTTCTAAATGTAGTGGAAGTTTAGTGTTAAAAACTTAAAGTAAAAACACATGTTAAATTATACATTTATTAATTGAATTTAAATTAAAACTACTCAAAATAAAATTTTGTATCTGTTATGAAAAATATACGTAACATTAAATAAACAGGTGTCTGACCAATAAGTGCCCGCATTGGGAATAAGTGCCCGCATTGAAAAAGAAAATAAGAGGGATAAAATAGAAAAAAAGTGAAAAATAATAAAAAAAGTTTTTTACTTAAAATAGCGAGTTCGTTTATTATTTATAACATAAACGTATGTTCTAAAATAATTTCACTGTTAGTTTGATTAAATTCTGCTACTTATGCGTTTAGGTTATCTAAAAATAGGCAAAAAATTAACAAATTTTAGTGTGTACCTTGAATTTTCAGAATAATTTAAAAAACAAATATTTTCTATAAAGCGGGGTTATTTAAAAAAATCAATGCGGGCACTTATTCCCAATGCGGGCATTTATTGGTCAGACACCAATAAACATAAAATAAACTATAAATAAAATAACATAAGCAATAAGTCAATATTTTTAGTGAGAAGGAAGAACCTGATGCTTTAATAAAAAATTATCAACATTTGACGTCAATTTTGTAAGGGTTAATCTTAAATCTCCTCGGCTAATGATGTCCAGTCTATTTCTTTTTTTCGTTAGGAGATTGGTAACAGCGCTGAACCCCCTTTCCACTAGGTATGACGATGGAAAGGAAATTAAAAATTTCCTCGCTATATTCCATAATACGGGATAAGTAACGGGTATGTTGTTTTGCAGCCAGAATTGCTGATATCCGTTTTTAAACTGAACCTTAAGTTCTTCGTTTGTACTTAGTTCAGTCAGTTCCTCTTGTATTATGACATTCGTTTCTTGTATGTCACCATATGGATTAATTATCTACGGTGGTATTACCATAGTCAAAATATCCTCAAACCTAGATTCAAAATCTGAATAGAGGGCATTTAAATGTTGAACGTAAGTTGAAACGTCGTCTTCCTGGCAGCTTGTCTGTGACAAATTGGGGAACTTAGAAAATTCATTCAATTCAATTTTGCTTCATCAGTTTAACTCTGGCAAGAAACGCTGATAAGATGGACTTTGCTTTAATCAAATTTAAACTGTCGCCTTGTAATTGCAAATTAACCATATTAAATTTTGTAAACAAATCTGTTAAATAGGCGATGTCTGTTTTCCTCTTCAGTAAATTTTCTTTTAAAATTTTATCTTTAGTATCCAGAAATTCTAAAATAGTCTCAAAAAGTGCAAAATTGTAATTGATGAAAGTGTTCGTCATTTTCTTCACACAACTGCGCAAATAACCGCGTATTCAACGCGTTGCTTCTGATTCGGTTTACTGCATCAATGACTAAATGAAGTGATTCATGCAATCTAACACTCAAATTTTTAGCAACTAAATGTTGTCGATGGATGACGCAATGTATGGCTAACACCCCTGACACATTTTTGTTTTAAATAGCTTATAAATCCACGATAACGTCCAACCATGGCAGGTGCTCCATCTGTAGCTACTGATATTATATTTGATAAAGGAATCGCTTTTTCAATGAAGTAATCCTTCAAAACATGAAATATTGATTCACCTTTAGTGTCGGTTATCAATGTTCTTGCGAAGAGCAGTTCTTCGTAGATTTCCTAATTCATAATAAAACGAACCGTTGACTCGTCCAGTTGTATAGAGAAATGGGTCCTTTGCAAATAATTACATAAGAAGCTTTCAATATCAGAACTCATTTCATCAATACGTCTTTCAACAGTATCGTTGCTTAAGGGATTTTTTTTAATGATATTAGATGCAGGTTTGTGTAAAACAGTTTTTAAAACCTCTTCAACGGCTGGCAAAATTAACGTCTCTCCGATAGTATTCGGTTTTCCGGATTTTGCTATAAGTAACGAGATATTGTAAGACGCCCGCAAACCATCATCATTTCTTTGTGACGTCGAAGCGAACATTCTGTCCAGTGTAGGTCTCTTCTGAAATTTATCTTTGAGTGTTTGAAAGTATTTCAAATCTTTCTCTGTTTTATCAGGGTGGCATCTTGCAGTTTAGATGGTTTCATAGCGTCATTGCCCAAAACTTTGTTGCATAAAAGGCACATAGGCGATTGTTTGCCCGGCAATGATGGAATGAAGCCAAATTTCAAATAATCAACACTGTACTGTCTACATTTCTTTTTAGATTCCGACATGGCATCAGTCATCTGTGGGCAAAATTAAATTATTTAAATAAGACAGAAAATAAAGCAGCTGTATATTAAAAATATTTTTTGATTTTTTCGAAAACATTCCATAATTCGAACATCTTCTTGCAACAATTAGCTCGAATTACGGAGATTGCACTGTAATTATATTACCGATTGCTAAAACTTTCAAAAAGAAACTATTGAGGAGTACTCGTGTAATTTTGCATGATTGAATATTTAACTACTAATAACTAAAGTCATGACTGGCGTAATTTATCTATCTTTGCTAACTACGAGTACAAAACTAAAATTTATCCTCCAGCACTCTCAAACAAAATAACACTGGCTCACTATAATTTGTGTGATAAACTATCTGTTTATATTTTTTTAAATATTTTCTTACCACTTTCATTTTCAAGATTCAGGAAACGAATAAACGTATTTGTCCCACATTCGTATTTATAGAGTGACGAATTGAACAAGTCAGTGCAAGGTAGCGAAGCTCTGAGACTGCGACTCTCAGGTTTTTACAAGTTCAAAATGTATTGCGACCACAAAGCGAATACCAACATCCTACAACTTACACAATTTTATAAACATATATAATAAATTTTTTACTTCATAGGTACTTTTATAAATAATGTATATGTTTTGATATTATAAGATAGTATGATGTAAGTAAATAGGTACTATCAGTGTATGTGTTGAGATTCACTATCGTGGACCCCCATTTTCATTTCATGGACCCCCAATTTTTTTCTCGCTGACGTAGACCCCTTGCAGGTTGTCATAGACCCCTAGGGGTCGATATAGACCACTTTAGGAATCAATGGTATAGGTTATATCGAAACTTCGATAACCTTAATGAGCCAGACGCATATTATCGATGTGGTTGTGCTCCATGAGCGATCACATAAAATAATCTTAGGTATAGATTTCTGGAAGGTTATGGAAATCGACCCTGATCTTAAGCAGGATGTTTGTCATTTTTCTAAATCTAATGATCTTGCACAAATCTGTAGTGTGCAGAATATGAGTCACTTAACATCTTCTGAGAAAACTCAATAGGACAACTTAATTGTGAAAAACTTTCACAGATGGATACAGGACTTGGTTGTTGTAGAGTCGCAGAACATGAGATCACTCTAGAACCAGGAACGAAACCGATTAAGCAACGTTATTATCCGGTGACTCCCTACAAACAAAAATTTATTGATGATGAAGTTGAAGAAACGCTTAAATTGGGTGTGATAGAGAGATCGAATAGTCCTTGATCTAGTCCTGTTTGTCTTGCCCGTAAAAAGGACGGACAATCTGGGGGTCAGCGCTGTCATGATGTTCCAACATCTGGTCATATAGATGTCTTTAAAACTTACGGTAAGATGCAGCAAACTTATTACTGGCCTAAGATGAAGGCTGATTTAATTATGTAAAACATTGTTCTTGTTGTGCTCAGAATAAAGTAGAGCAGAAGTCAACAGCCGGTTTAATGGGCCGGACATAACAGAACCATTTCAGGCCTTAAGTCTTTACCACGTTCAAAGAAAGGTTTTTGCTATATTCTTGTTATTTCAGACTGCTTCAGTAAATCAGTTTACTTATTCCCTTGTCGATCGGCAAAAGCTAAATCCTTAGTTGAAACTGTTGAGAGTTTCTTTCTTCTTCACGGAGGACCCATGTTTCTAACTTGCGATAATGGAGTTCAGATGAAATCTAAGGAATTTGAAGCATTGTGTAAAAAGTATAGTACCCGAATATTTTATACTACCAATTATGGGATTTTGAGCCTCAGCGTCAATAGAAACAGAAGAGAATCATCATCCTCTCTCCTCCAGTTGGTTGCATCTTGTTGCAGTTTTGCAAATTGGTAGAAGCCATCCCCTTGAAAAGATCGATTAGCTATAAAAGAGTGTATCTTAATTTTTTAAACTATTATTTATTTTTCATTATCTAGCTCGATTTATCAGTTAGTTTTTTGTAGAAATGTGGTATTGAAATGTCTTACGAATCATTTCGTAATCTAACCATTTCCATCTAATGATCTTACATGACTAAGTGCTACATAAGCTTGTACAGCAGCAATCAGTCGCGAGCCTAGATAAATGACTGCATGATCGACTGAACAACCTTGCATCTTGTGGACGGCCGAAGCCCAACTCAGGATTAATGGCAACACTCGTAATGAACGAGGTGAGGATGCACTACCTTGAAAAAGTGTCTGCCTCCTACAAAGAGTAAGTCCGAAACTGCACGCATGCGCCAGCTCTATCTCTGTTACACCCCTACAGAGGATCTATAGAAGAATTTATCAATCCTGGCGATCCTAACAAGGATTACAGTTATCAAATTATTGCATTGTCATCGGTCCTTGATACGTGTGCGAAGTTTCAGATTAATCAAACTTCTGGAAATTGGTGAAAATTATGCTCAAAAACACCATTACATACATACATACAGGCCAAGCTAATAAGAGTGTGTTAAAAAGAATGAAGAACACGATACAGCTTATATGATATCTTTATAATTTTTCATAAAACGTTATGCGTAAATGGTTTTTTAATCTGTTTTCTGGGTAGGTGTTACTAAAAGTACTTTGTGGTGGTAAACCGTTTTGGTTTATTTTGTAATTTACATTTTTTCCTCTTCCTAATTATGGAGTTTTCTTTTATACAGGGTGGCCAAACACGTGACGTCATAAAAAAAAAATAGATTCCCCACATCGAGAGGAATCCAAATCACCCCCATATATACGTATATGGTCCGATTTTGTTTAGTTTAGGAGTTATGATTTTTTTTCGGATTTTTCGAGAATTTTTGAGTTCTGTGTTTATTTTTACCATAACTTCGTTAATAATTGTGATAAATGCCTGCTTTTTTCACGATTATGTAGCTAAGACCTAAGGCTTAACTATCATATAATCATTCAAGTCATGTAACTAATACTACTTTTTAATTTTTTTCAAAATCTTCGAACATAACAAAAAAGTAAAAAAGTGCAACAACTTTGAACGTTTATAAAAAATTGAAAAAACATGTTCTTACTATTCGTAAGTATCTTAAAAACTTCCTTACGGTATCAGCTATTTACCGTAAAAATTTCATCAACCTAGCTTTACTACATGCTACCGTAATTGTGGCTCAAATAGAACCGAACCCAAAATTGGATAACCCTCTGCTCAATAGAAATTGTTAGTTTCGGAAAAAAAATTTGCAAAAACCACAAAAACACGTTTGATTTTTACTGAACAGCAGATTATTATTCATTTATGTTATTTAGAAGAGGTTTTCAAAATGTCTGCCTCTAACAGAAATGCACAGTGTACACCTACGTATGAAATTTTGTTTTAAATCTCTAAATGCTTGTGTGTTGTTTTTCAACACATGTGTCGCTTCTTGAATTTTGTTCCTCAATGAATTTTCATTTGCACATTCTTGGGCGATTGTTATGTCTTTAAAATATCCCCAAACAAAAAAATCAATGGGGTTGAGGTCAGGGGAGCGTGGAGGCCATCGTATCGGTCCGTTTCGTCCGATCCATCTGTCTGGGAACCTTTCGTTTAAGTAGTTTCGCACGATCGTTGCGTTGTGGCATGGTGCACCATCATTCTGGAACACCATGTTCCGTCTGGCTTCCAGGCTTGAATCTTCCAGCAATAATGGTAGGCTATTTTCAAGGAAGCTTTTGTAGGCTACCGAATCCAAGCTTGACGGCAGTTCAAATGGACCGATAAATTCCATATTGAATATTCCTGACCACATGTTCACACTAAAACGGTGTTGAAATGTCGACGGCCTTGACTGGTGGGGGTTTTCAACAGCCCAAGTATGTAAATTATGGATATTGAATATCCCTGTTCTTACAAAACGTGACTCGTCAGTCCATAAAATTTTATCAAAAAAATCGGGATCCTCTCGTTGTCTTCGCAGCATTGTCTCGCAGAAATCCACTCTTAACTGGTAATCTGAAGGCATCAACGCTTGAACTCTTTGAACATGATAGGCATGATAACCTTCTTCATGAAGAATATTTTGTATCGATGTTCGTGGTATTCTAAGGTTTTGTGCCATAGATCTCGTACTCGTTGAGGGATTCCGGCTAATTTCTTCAAGTACTACTTCTCTGCGATCCGGATCAGCTGTAGGATATCCTTCATTGCTTCCTCGTCCTGGAATGCGGCCTGCCAAGCCTGTTCAAGCGTTGATGCCTTCAGATTACCAGTTAAGAGTGGATTTCTGCGAGACAATGCTGCGAAGGCAACGAGAGGATCCCGATTTTTTTGATAAAATTTTATGGACTGACGAGTCACGTTTTGAAAGAACAGGGATATTCAATATCCATAATTTACATACTTGGGCTGTTGAAAACCCCCACCAGTCAAGGCCGTCGACATTTCAACACCGTTTTAGTGTGAACATGTGGTCAGGAATATTCAATATGGAATTTATCGGTCCATTTGAACTGCCGTCAAGGTTGGATTCGGTAGCCTACAAAAGCTTCCTTGAAAATAGCCTACCATTAGTGCTGGAAGATTCAAGCCTGGAAGCCAGACGGAACATGGTGTTCCAGAATGATGGTGCACCATGCCACAACGCAACGATCGTGCGAAACTACTTAAACGAAAGGTTCCCAGACAGATGGATCGGACGAAACGGACCGATACGATGTCCTCCACGCTCCCCTGACCTCAACCCCATTGATTATTTTGTTTGGGGATATTTTAAAGACATAACATTCGCCCAAGAATGTGCAAATGAAAATTCATTGAGGAACAAAATTCAAGAAGCGACACATGTGTTGAAAAACAACACACAAGCATTTAGAGATTTAAAACAAAATTTCATACGTAGGTGTACA